TTTTGAAGCCTGTATTTTCTGTGCTCCAGGCTTCATTATCCTAGTAATGAGGGGTGATGGGAGAACAGTTGATAAACAAACCCATGAATCACCTCCATCGCCTAAGCCCATCGCCTAAGCCCATCGCCTGGACCTCCTCCTCACTGGGCGCTCTGTTGAATTCTGGACCAGGAGCTCTTTGCTGGGTTTGTGACTCATCTCCCAAACTGTGCCATGAAGACTTGCTAATAAGCAATGGATTGGCCAACAGACACACAGCAGGGGAAAGCAGAGAGACCGCCAAAGGACCAGTGGGACCTGGGGTAGGGAATGGATCTGATTATGTATATTTGAGAACTAGACGTGGGAACCACAACAGACTAGTTCCAACTACCTTAGCTTTTCAGTATTTCAGACAGTCCTCCAAAGGCCTTAGTGAATTTAATAGTGCCAGCTTGGTACTGTGGGAAATAATGACCCTGCCACTAAGGGGTGGGGACACGATTTGGAGTTGCTTCAGGCAGGCTGAGAAAGGCAGTCTGACACCTCCGTGAATGAGGCTGGTCAGTACTATCTGGTTCAGATACTGGTTTGGAGCAATCCTCTGTTTGCCCCTAGATCCTTGCTGAGGATTCTAGACTGGTCTAGAACAGTGGTTCTCTTGTGGGGATTATTCTGTGCCCCCCGCAGGGACATTTGATAATGTCTGAAGGCAATTTTGATTGTCACAACTTGGAGGCGATGCTAGTGGCACCTCACAGGGAGAGACAGTGATACTTCTAAATATCCTACAATGCACAGGACAACCCCACCCTCCCAACAAAGAATTACCCAGCCCTGTCAATAGTACTGAGGCTGAGAAACTCTGGTCTAGAATAAAGACACTCGAAACCCCCGAGGCATCCAATCTTGAGTCACGATCCCTCTGAGAATCTTAGACTCTGGACTATTCCTTAGGGGAAAATAAAGTTTTTGTATACGCATACACAGACACAAAGCTTTGCAGTTTTTTGAGGGGATTCATTAACCGCTAGTATCCATTCATGAACACCCCTCAATCCCAGACACCCAAAGATATTGAAGCAAGGCTTCTTTTCAAGGGATGATTCCAGTTTAAAAAAAAAAAAATCCTTACAAATAAAAGAAAAACTTGGAAGGTCAAAACCAGAGATGTCAGGCCGGCTTAAGAGATACAGAACTTGGGACAGACAATGCTCAAAGCCATGGGCTAGATGATAGAAAAATCAAACAATGGGACAGAGTACTGGTCTTACCATTCCAGAGCCTTTTCTTGCCTTCTCCAGCTCTTGGAAAAAGTTTTCTAGCTCTTTACCTTCAATATACCCATTTCCTGTGAAGAAAGCAAAGAACAAATCAATTGACCTCAGAGCTAAATAGTGAGACTCATGGGGGTGGGGGTGATGGGGAAGTGAGGGGCTTCGTGGAGAACTTCTCACTGGTCAACAAGCAGGTGTCTGGACTGTGTAGTGTTAGGGATGTGGGTCCTGCTCTCAGGGTGTTTGCAACTGATACAGCTGCAAGATTAATAGCTGTGTATCTTTGGGGGTGTACATTCAGTAGTCAGAGAACACTGGGAGGGACCAGCATCTGGGCCAAGCCGGTAGAAGTGAGCAGAGCTGGGAACTGTCCGTAACTGGCTGGGCAAGCAGCAGGAGCTAGAATCCAACAGGGGACAAAAGGTATCAGCATCTGGGTTTGTCAGCAGGTGGTAGGCCCTGGTCACAAGGGTGAGTGAGGTCCGAGGCAGAATTTGGGTCTCTGGAGTAGGAGGATGTACTGAGTTGAAGAATGTTTCCACACTGGGTGCCTGGGGGGCTCAGTTAGTTAAGCATCTGACCTCGGCTCAGGTCATAATCTCGCAGTTTGTGAATTCAAGTCCTGCTTTGGGTGAGCTGGAGCCCTGCATCGGGTGAGCATGAGCCCCACTTCAGGTAAAACACAAGTCCCACTTTGGGTGAGCCTTGCTTCTCTTTCTCCCTCTGTCTCTGTCTCTCTCTGTACCTTGGGGGATTCTCTCTTGAGCCTCTCTCTCTCCGCTCCTTGCTCACTTGTACCACCCCCCTCAAAAAAAAGTGTTCTCCCTGGGGCGCCTGGGTGGGTCAGTCAGTTAAGCATCTGACTTGAGCTCAGGTCATGATCTCATGGTTTGTGAGTTCGAGCCCCATGTCAGGCTCTGAGAGCATGGAGCCTGCTTCAGATTCTGTGTCTCCCTCTCTCTCTGCCCCTCCCCTGCGTCTGTCTCTCTCTCTCTCTCAAAAGTAAATAAACATTAAAAAAAAAGTGTTCTCCCCTCCCCCCAAATCCATGTCCAATTAAGATGAGGTCATACTAGATTAGGGTAGGCCCTAATCCAATGACTGGTGTCCTTATAGGAGGCCATGTGAAGACACAAAGAGACACACAGGGAAGAAGACTACGTAAAGACAGAGACAAAGACTGGAGTGATGTATCTCCAGGCTAAGGAATGCCATGGATTGCTGGTGACCACCAAGAGCTAGGAGACAGACACGGAAGGACGGTCCCTTAGAGCCTCTGGAAGGAAGCCATCCTGCCAACACCTTAATTTTGGACTTCCAGCCTCTGGAACTGTAAGGGGAAAAAAAATTCTGTTGTTTTAAGCCACCCAGTTTGTGGTACTTTGTTACAGCAGCTTCAGGAAACTAACACAGAGAGGAAAAGTGGGAGGAGAAAGGCAGGACATCTGTCCTTTGGGCTGGGGGCACCTTGGTCACCGGGATTACGTGTAGGGGAGACAACCCACTGCAAGGCAATGAGCAGAGGCCATGAGGTCTGTGAGGACAGAGTAAAGCCCTGTTCTGCACTTATTACCTGCAGGACTGTGGAAAGGCATTTCACCTGCCTCATGTGCAAAATGAGTAATTACAATTAAATGGGATTTTGTATGTAAAGCCCATCATCCAACCCGTTGAGTGGACGGTAAATGCTGCTGTTGTTTGAGTTCAATTACTAGAACCTGTGTATAAGAATCTGGGTGAAAACTGCAATTATCAGGACCGGGCCCCAAGGTCAGGGCCTGACTTTTAAGATCAGGACAGGTGAGAGACCCTTTAGGCTCTCAAGTCTTGAATCCAGATAGCCCAGAGACCGGGTTAGCTGAGTCCATGGCCAAGGTCATTAGTCTCTGCTGTGATTGAGAGGAGGCATTTGTGGCTGGGAAATCAGACAGGTCTAGGGCAGTGCTCCCCACACTCCTGCAAACTGGACTCTCCTGGGATTTAAAAAAAAATACATGGACATCTGGCTCCTACCCTCAGACATGCTGATGTCATTGGTTTGGGGTATGAACTAGGCATCATGATTTTTTCTGAAGAAAGCTTCCCAGGTGATTTCCATGTGCAGTCATGTTTGGAAACCACTGGCCTAAAGTCAGGTTTCAAATCTGATCTAAAACAATTGAGCACGGTTCTTATAGAGAATAGTCAACTGGTAGCTTTTCTTCAAGGGCATTGGAATTACGAACGGCACAAAGAACATAAAAAAAGGAGTATTTATCCTGGCCTTTGGGGATGGGGTGTGTGTGGGGAGGGTCTTTCTCCCCCTTCACTTCCCCCCCTCCCCCCATCCCCTGAGAATTTCCATTCCCAGTAAATAACCAGAGAGGAGCCCTCTAGTGGAGAAGATGCCACAATAAACATTGCATGCAGAGAACAGGGGGGAGATAAATGATGTACTTTTGTCTGGGGTGGGGAGATGTGATTGTAATTAGGGTGTGGGGAAGGAAGACCTGAATTTCCTTTTTTCACAGAGCATACAGTGGTCATCGTTCTTGGGAGAGTTGGAATCTCATGAGTGTGCGTGTCTAATGGCTTGTGAGGCCAGCTGGAGAGGGGGAATGAGGGAAGGTCCAAGGGCTTTCTGGGCAAGAAGGCAGTCTAGTTGATGAGAACTCTGAGTTGAAGGAACAAGCAATTTTTCTCTTCCTCGGTACTCCTTGCAGTGGTCTGGCTATTCTCCCATTTCTGAGGCAGAAAGCTGAGATGAATTCTGGGCCCAGGCACAGCTTCCAGAAGCCTGGGGCTGGGTTGGACTGGGGCTCAGAGCCGGCACTGTGAGCACGTATTGGGGTTCAAACCGGCAGAGGCCCCAGAGGTGGGCCTTGAGGCGGGATGGGACAGACGCATGAAGGAGGGAGTGTGAGTCTGTTTTGTGAGTGTATTAGGAGGAGGTGGACGCGGACTTGGAGGGGTCAGCCCCAGATGCAGGAGAATGGATTCGAAGGAGCAGCTGCCACTGAGCTCTGAACAGCACCCCTCACCACCATTGCTCCTGCTTTGCATGGTGGCACAACGCACTGTCATTTCTCCGCTGGCTCCCGAACCTGCCGTGGAGGGGTGGGACAGGGGTGGGGGCAGTCATTCGCACTTCTCGTGGAGGCACCCACACCCAGTTCTCTTCCTGCCTCTACCACTCACCGGTTCACTCTGCGGTGTCGCCTCTCCGAACCTCAGTTTCCTCACCTATAAAATGGGGCTAATGAGGGTGCCTTCCTCACACGGTTGGCAGTGAAGACCCACGCAGAATGTGTTGGCCCACAATGAGCCTCCGAGATACCAGTGGTCGTTACCACCATGGCGGTGTTTCTGCTGGCTGCCTAGGCTGGGGAACACCTTGGCTTTGGGCTGCTTGCTTTGGGTAGTAAAGTTTGGGGTGCAGAGGGAGGCCGAAGCACGTGAGGCCAGCACTGAGCCATGTCCCACTGAGCAATCTGAACGGGAAGAAGAAAAGCATCAAGGTGCAGACCTGTGGGACCCGCCTTTTCCTTGGGGTTTCTCTGAAATTTACAAAGCATCCATGTATTTGTGTTTATTCTTGTTCTAGAAAAGTTTTAAGGTGGGTTAACAACCTTAAGAACCAGATAATCAGCCAGCGCCTAAACCAGCAGGAGAGGACGGACACTTGTGAATATCAGTTACTCCTTACAGATACAACACTTTTAATTGATCAAAGCACATCTGCTTCTCTCTTTACTTCAGCAGATCATTTGAAGCCTCACTATGGGTAAGGCCCTGTGTAGGTTACCATGTGGGGGTATGACGATGTACAAGATCTAGCTCCAGTCTTCCAAGCTGTCACAATCCTTTCAGACACACAGGATCACAACAGGGCAGAACAGAATCCTCTTCTGGTGACAAAGAAACTTGAGGCACAGAGAAGGTAAGCAATCTGTTCAGGAACACACAGCAAGGCAGGACCAGAATTGGAGTATCCTAATTCCTGATCTAGGTTTTACTCATTCATTCATTCACTCAACATTTATTGAGCATCCACTTTGTGCCTGCTGTATGCTAGGCACCAGGGATGTAAAAGTGAGGTAGACAAGGTCTGCTGTGATGGGGCTTATGTTCTAACTGGGTGGGGATAAGGGAGGGGCAGATGGACAGCAAGGAGAAGGAATGATGAGGCAACAGAACAGAGATGGACCTGCCAGGGCTGCTTGATAGGGTGGGCAGGGAAGGCCTCTCTGAGAAGCCCCAGCTACTGGACAGGGAGGACAAAGGGAGGCATAAAATCGGACACGGAGAGGAGCCAGGATAGTGCCACGGTAGAAACCAGTCCCCTCCCTGGATCCACCTTGCACGGCGTGGGCAGCAGGACGGTCCCAGAGGCTGGCAAGCCCCTCTCACCCTGCTGAATATCCCACCACCGCTTCCTCTCTGTGCCCCCAGCAAAGGGACCAAAGGTGCCTCAATTCAACACACATATATTGTCTGAGGTAAACAACAGTTCAACTTTGTGCCCGGTGCTCAGGGAGCTGTAGATAATTCTAGATGTGGGCTCGTTCCCAGGGAGCATTTAATAGTCTAGTGGGGTGAGGCAGCCAAACAAGCATGGCCAGGATCTACCAGCTGAAGGTGGAGGGAGAAGAGCAGAGATGGGATAGGGAGGCAGGGGCTGTGGGCCTGGAAGGAGCATCCCCCATTTTTGGGGGGGAAAGGCCTTTGCTACTTGGTCTCCCTCAGAGCCGCCTCCGTCCATCACCCAGGCGGCAGCTACTGTCTGTCTGGTGTGGAGGATGGGCTGGCCAACATCCTTCCAGGGAGGACTTTAGCACTAGACAAATGCATTGCTTTTTCTATGACCCTCTTATCAGGGCATGGGGTGACCGGCCACCACAAAAATCTCAAAAATCTCATATGGATGGGCATTGACAAGAATGTGGTTACCATAGCAACCGCTACTCCTCACCTTCCTATCAAACCACTTCCCGTGAATGTTAGGAAGGGGCTGGGTGGGAGTCAGGGACACTGCCTCTTTCCTTATTGTACTCTTGCTACCATTCTTCACCATCATGCCTCAATTTCCCCAAATAAATTTATTTATTTATTTATTTATTTATTTATTTATTTATATTTAATGTTTATATCTGAGAGAGAGAGAGAGAGAGAGAGCGCACGAGCAGAGGAAGGGCAGAGAGAGAGGGAGACACAGAATCTGAAGCAGGCTCCAGGCTCTGAGCTGTCAGCACAGAGCTCGACGTGGGGCTTGAACTCCCGAACTGCGAGATCATGACCTGAACTGAAGTCGGATGCCTAACCTCATTTCCCCAAATTTAAAGTGAGACAAAACTGTTTTACAATTAAGCTGATCACAGACACTGGAAAACCTTGACCAAAGGTTGCTCTGCCCCATGCTGGAAAGAGGCCGACTTGTTTCTCACTGAGACTTGTGTGTACATCCGGATTTTCTAAGACCTGAACAGGTAAGGGAAATTGGAGTAAGAGGTAACAGCCACCAGCTCTGTGGCTCTGAGCCTCAATTTCTTGATCTCTAAAATTGGTATAACTATGTATGCCCTTTCTACTTTATAGAGCTGTTGTGAGAGCCACACAAGGTAATGTTGTGAGAGCATTCTGGAAAATGTAAAATCTCATACAAATGGAAAGCATCATTTTTATACTCTGACTTCTGAACCAGTCCATGGCTGTAAACTCTTCAGCTCAGAGTTTAGAGCATTGGTTCTCAGCCCAGGCGGTGTATTAGAGTCACCTGGGAAGCTTTTAAAACAACACCATTGCCTGATTCTTCCCTCCCCGCCCCCCCCCCCCCCCACCCCAAGCTTCTGATTTAATTGATGGGATGGGGACTTCTTGTGGGCATGTTTTCAAAGCTCTCTCCGTGATCTGAACGTGCAGTCAGGGTTAAGGACTGCTTTAGAGCAGTGAGTCTCAAATGTTAAGGTGTGCAAGAATTACCTGGGGATCTTATTAAAATGGAGAGTCCAATTTAGTAGGTCTGGAGTATAAGGGCCTGCTGTTCAAATTGTGGTCTGTGGAACAGTAGCATTGGAATTGCCTGGGAGCTTGTTAGAAATGCAGAATCCCAGGCACTATCCAAGACCCACTGAGGAGGAAGCATTCGGAGTGAGGTCCAGACATCTGTGTTTTAACAAGCCCTCCTACACACTCAAGTTTGAGAACTACTGGCCTAGATGTGGGAGCAGTCTGTGTCTCTCTGTGATGCACAGGTTAGAGAAATTGAGGACAGGAGTTACGAAGTTTCAGACTCCTCGTTAAGAAAGTGTTCATGAGGCCAAGCCACTTGGTTGTTTGTCTGGGGTTCAAATTTATGGCAAGGCAAATAGCCCTGTACCTCCCAGCCTAAGCACCCTTTGAGACAGTCAAACACCACCCTTTGGGGCTAGAAATTGGCTTCCTGAGATCCTGCCCTGATACTAATATTACTTTTCATGGTGTGAACCATTTACAAAGAGGGTCCTACTCCCCACCCCTGCTGGTTGGTCTTCAGGACTCGGCCAGGTAAGCAGACAGGTAAGGATGCTAGAGAGAGGGAAAGAGATGAGTCACAGCCTACAGCCTGGTGTCCTATTCATCCCAGGGACGACCTCTGTCCAAACCTGCATTTGTCTTGGCTTCTCTGTCAGTCACCTCAGTGACTTCTAGGGGTGAAAAAACACAGTGCAAACAGCTACTGGATGAATGTTCAGACACGACTTTGAATCTGTTTCTGGGCTGTGCCACTTTTGGAACAGTGGTTCTGGGGCTGGGCTGGGTCCCCTGAACCTGTGGACATCTGGCAGCCTAACGCTGGGCCGATTCCCAGGCATGGGGGAGGCCAGAAGGATGGGCAGATTGGGCGAGAGAGGAGGGAGGACAGTAGAGAGCCAGGGAGGAGCAGGGGAGGGCCGAGGCCAGAGGCCGCAGATGGGCCTGGCTGGGCAAAGGAGGGCATGGGGTGCCATTGGCCAGGAAAGCCACCAGGGGAGAGGCACTGTTTTTGAAGAGCCTCGCGTCTGCTCTAGTAATTCTGGCTCCCCAGGTGTTAGAAGAGATTTCCCGGAGGGGTCTTCTTAGCCCTGGAAACCTCCCTCAGGGGCTCAGCGAGTGCAGCCACTGGAGTCTAGAGGGGAATAAACAGGGTGAGCGGGCAGGGACGGAGGCTCCCTGGGCTGGTGGCTGCCCTGGCGAGGCGGGCTCAAGTGTTTTGTTTGTCAAAACGGGTCTCAGGGCTGCCTCCCTGGGGAGCCCCAGTGCCTCCCTGGCTGGTGCAATCACCCCCTGGAGGCAGGCTGCTGGGCCTGGGGCACACATGGAGGCCACCAGCGCAGGGCCGCCCAGCACGCCGTGAACACTCCATACCAAAGGGCACTGTTAGCAAAGCATCTGGGGGTTTAGGGGTGAAGCAGAGCAGGGGACTGATTCCTAGGGCTTACTCTGGATGGGACAGGAGGCTACTTCCAAAGAACCCCACATCCTGCCATCACAAACCCCAAATCTATGCTCTGCTCTCCCAGATGGACACATGGACCTGACAGAGATTCGTTTGACAGGTAAAAGAAAGCCTCCCTCAGATAACTCTGAACTTGGCTCCCTGCACCAGATGCCTCTGACTTTTTTGTGCCAAGAAGTGGTCGTTTTTATGAGTCCTATAGTCACCTCATGAATAGCACAGTTATAGTGCATTGTAAATGTTGTAGTATTTGTGTAAATAATATATACCGGATATTCTGTAACCCTGTTTGGGGAAAAAAAAGTATCTTTTTTCACTGTTCCAGGAGCCTTCATTTAGTATTTCAGTGCGAGTGGCCCAGTCCTCTTTCTCCACCTGGGTGAGGCCCTATGGCTTAGCTCCCTGCAGGTCACAAACTTAGCAGTGACCCACACTCTGGCAGAGCCTGTCTGGGCGCTCGGGTTGGAGGGTGTTCGAGGTGCGTGTGTTTTAGGGATGTTTCTGTCACTTCCATTGGGTGTAGGAGGGCAGAGCAGGGAAGAAAGGGCAGGGCCTCCCTCTCCCTAATTTTCAAAGGTCTGCAGGCCCACACAGATAGGGAACACAGCTTCCTCTCTGCAAGAGGCTTTGAGAACCACCCCATGTCACCAGGGCCATCTGGAGGCAGACGAATGCCCAGAAGAGTCTGGGCAGATTCCCACAACTGGAGATAAATAACTTTTTACATCTTTACTGTTTGGCAGATGAACACAAGAAACAAAAGCTCTTATACAGTTTTCAAACATGACAGAAATTAACTTAGTAAAAGCAAATGCCTTTTAATTTTATCTCAGCCAGTCTGTAGAGAGAACCACTGTTCTCTATTGTCTATGTTATATTCTGTCAAGTATCTTTCAGCAATTTGCCTCATGAATAATGAAAATGGGGTCATACTATAATCATCCAGCTACCATTTAAAAAATCTTTCTTTTTACATGTTTAAAATGTTTATTTGTGTGTGTGTGTGTGTGTGTGTGTGTGAGAGAGAGAGAGAGAGAGAGAGAGAGAGAGAGAGAGAGAGAGTGGGGGAAGAGCAGAGAGAGAGGGAGACACAGAATCTGAAGCAGGCTCCAGGCTTTGAGTTGTCAGCACACAGCCTGACATGGGGCTCGAACTCACACACCATGAGATCATGATCTGAATCGAAGTTGGACGCCTTACCAACTGAGCCACCCAGGTGCCCCATAAAAAAAAATCTTAATAGTACATCTTGGACATTTTCCCACAGCAGTACAAAAGACCCACCTCACTCTGCTTGGTTGTATAATATTCTGCTCTAAAGACTGGCGCAATTCATTTTTCTCCTCACTAATGAAGCACATTCCCCCTCAAATTTTCAGTATTCCAAAGAACTCAGTAAGAGACTCCTTCTCATACCACTTTTTGCATAGGTACAAGTGTACCTATGTCAGATAGATTCCTAGGGTGAGTGGGATTCTCTACTTGGATCTGGGATGTCTGCTGGCCTCTGGGAGAGAATCCATCTTATCCCTATGATTTCAGTTGCTTCTGAAAGCTAAGGTGTTTCCCTTTAGGGCCACACCTTGGTTCTCCATGGAAATTCCCACTGGCAGAACAGGAGGCTGGTGGCCCGTCTGATCAGAACCACTCAGCTGCTTGGATCTTGCAGAGTGAGGATATTCCTGACAAAGAAGTGAGCAGGTAACAACAGGGCAGTGGACTCAGATATACAGGGCCATGGAAGGGTCACTCAGAGCATGGAAGTGGCATGTGGGCCTTGCGGTGTGCTTGGCTACTGTCTTTCCTACCTCTGCCTTTGAGAGATGACATCTGAATCTCCCCCAAATGCGTGAACTTGGGTGACTGAGGAGGAAGGGTTCAGGGATGGTACAGGATTCCTGGCCCCCGCCCCCCGCCACCACTCCTTCCTTCCTCCACCATGAGACTGATGATGATTTTGAAAAGACTCTAACTCTTAGGGCAAAGTCACCAGGATGACTCTTTCTCCTGGTTAGGAATAGGCTGAGTTAGGGTCAGAGCCCCCCATGCCATCTCCACTCTCTTTGGCATTCAGCTTCTCCTAGGATCTCCTTGTCTTTGTTTCCTAGGGGGTCCAGGAGGAGTGGGGCAGTGGCTCCCTGCCCCTGGTGGCTGTGCCTAACTGGGCTCCAGGGACCTGTGAACTGCAAAAGAGAGTCCTGCCAGAGCTCTTTAAGTTTGTGAGTGGCAGGGGAATCTGTATCAGGAAGAAACCCCCAGATGAAAATAGAAGCCAGAGTTAGTAAGCGGGGTGGTGGTGGGGGAGCAGATAGTGCAGGGAGCTACTGGGGTCTCCCCAGTAGCCTTTGGGTATGTGGGACAGATAGGTTAAGGAAGGTATGGAGCAAGTCAGTCCACAGCCTAATAATTCTGGGTTCTTTGTAGAATGCTAACTTGACCGTATCCTCATTTTTCTAAAGCACCTCTGAGCCATCTCTGGCATTTTAAGCCCTTTTGTCTTCTTTCTCTGTTAGGTCTGCAGCCCTTTCTTGGGAATTCCCTGAGGCCATGAGCAGAGAGGGCAACGGGGTGTCTGGTGGACAAGGAACCAAGAAGCAAGCATTTAGCTCCCCTTTCATTTCGGAGGAGACAGCCAGAGGCACAGTGGCTTTGGGGGCCTTTCAAGACTATTGTGTCCAGCGCTACCTTAGCTATGCTCCAGCCCAGACAAGGACCCATTTCTGAGATTAAAGGAACTGTCCATCACCTCCAAGCCTGCGGATTGTGGAGGCTCTTCTGTGGGCAAATGAGAGGGCAACTTGTACCTATCATCATGGAAAAAACCCCTCTTCCAACCCAAACGCATGTCCAAAAAGTAGGGCATAAACACTGGCCAGGAACCAGCCCCACTACTACCTTGCTATACAACCTCAGAGAACTCACCCATTGTGTCTGGTTCCTTGTCTGCACAAGGAGAACCGCGACCTGCCCAGCAGCCTCACAGTGTGGGACTCAAGAAGGTGTGATTGTATATTGAACAGTACGAGGTCTCAGATAAATGTAAGGATTCGCCTGATTATTGGGAGTGCTATTGGCTGTCCCCCCAAGCATAGGGGGGAAGTAGATCTATGGAGTCCTCTGTTTATTATAGCTGACTCATCTGGCAGGAGGCTGGTGGTGTAACCTTGGCCACTTGGTAACTTTCCTTGAATCCTGAAAGTCTCTGGTGCAGATAAACTGGCAGAAGCATCCTTAGGGAAGGTGCACGTCATCTGGAATACTAAGAGGCTGCACCTTACAGCCCTTTTCACCAAGGGAGTTTTATGGCACAAGCTGGGGATTGGAAGTACAATCCCTCCTTAGCCCCATTTTACAGATGTAACAGTCTACCCACCTCCTTCAGTAATTCACAGGCAGATCACTGTCCTAGCCCAGGTATTGCTCACCCAGTCCTTTGCTTGGCTCCAAGAAAACAAAACTTTACTAATGAGCATCCCTGGACATTAACCTTTGCCTCTCCAAGGGCTCTGGGCGGAGGGCCTCTGTTTTGTCATTTTCAGGCTCTAGGGAGGTGAGGACAGGAGGAGGGAAGAATTAAGTGAACCAGGGACTGATCCTCTCTCTGGTTCCCATCCCCCTCACTGTCAATCCCAGGATAAACACCCTGAGCCACCACCCTGCCAATGGTCTGAGATGCCAGAACATTTTGGATGCCAACCCCAGCCGGGAATTCAGAGAAGGGAATCAGATCACTTAATTTTTTTTGGAGTGGTGGAGAAAACATTTCTAGTGATATCAGAAGCTCCTGAAGGGGGGCCTCACTTTATGCCGGAGTCAGACCATTCATAGACTCTTAGAATGCCAGCACTGAGAGCCACCTCCAAAGGTCATTCAGTCCAGCCCTCGATTTCTGGGTAAGTCGATGTCTCAGTTGCATTTAAGATTGTGCCTCCCCCACCCAGAGATGGTGTCACCCAAAGCACCCAGGATTATCACCATGAGGGAATGTCAGGTTTGTACCTCACCCCTGCCCCCACCACACCTACTGCTGCTGTGTATGGGACCCATCTGCCCAGGGAGGATGGGAAATGGGCAAAGGAAGCCCAAGGGGTGTTCAGGGCCCTGATGTCACTCTCCACTCCCGCTCCCAGCCAATCACTCTGGGGAGGCCAGGGGTTTCCCTTCGGTATCCCCCAGCTCGCCTCAGCCTCCAGGACAGTGACGGGGGGGGGGGGGGGGGGGGGGGTAACCTAGTATTAAACAAAAGGGGAACCTCAAGAAAGAAACGAGTGGGCTTTTGAGACCTGTGGCTGCAGCAGCTGAAGGTAGGCCATTACCTTGAAGAGAAAGGCGGGGAAGGTAAGATGGCAGGGGGAATCATGGGGAGCCTTGCTGGCCCAGGCCTCCTCCCTGGGAAAGCTCCAACTTGCCCAGAATGAGGCTGCAGAAGCTGGTGGGCTCTCTGCCGTCTGTGTTAGGGAAGAAAAGTTGCTGACAGTTGTCACCAGAGCAGCCAGGTGTTTCCCAAACTCCAGACCCCGACCTCAGCAGGTTTTGCTGCCCAAACACCCCCAGGGACCAACGTACACCTGCCCGCATCAGCAAAGTCCCCTTCCCCTCCACCGCAGGCTCCCTGGGGGCCAATGGGCACAGAAGTTGAGAGATCTACTGACCGTCTGCGTCAAAGTGCTTCCAGATTTCCAGGAACTGGGACGCCGTCAGCTCGGCCAGGTGCAGGTAAGGGGGCTGCTGCTGCGGGCTAGCCATGGCGAGCGGCTCGGAGACCTCAGGCGCACAGCGCTGTCCCTGCGCCCGGCTCCGCTCCCGCACTCGGCCGGGTCCTGCGCGCCACGCTGCCTTTATATACAGTCCGGAGGCTGCGCCCGCGCCCGGCCGCCAGCAGGGGGCGCGCGCGCTCAGAGAATCAGCCCGGGTGTCGGCGGGCGGCGGCCGCGCAGCGGTTCGGCCAGTGGGCGCGCGGCGCGGGGAGCGCCGGGGACGCGCACGTGGGCGCTGAGACCGCTCGCCGCCAGGCCAGGGAAGCAGGGGCCCTTCGGTGCAAAGAGCGGGGAGAGGCTGCTCTTGCCTCTCTCTGACCTTCTTCAGTACAGCTACCAGGTATTGTTACTAGCAGTAGCAATAGTAATACGGGTAGTAGCCGCAGCACCACTAATAGTAATAATAATGTAAGCTTGACAAATAGCATCTGCACTTCACGGTTCACTGGGTGTCTCTCATGCCTGCTCCCGTCTGACCCTTACACAACAGGAAGAACAGGGACCAATTTTCTGAGGAGGGGACTTGAGACTTCAAATGACTGTTACATGACTTGTACAGCAAAGAGGGGCCCGAGCTAGAATTTGAACCCAGCTCTTTCCCCACACTCTCATGGTCCCTAAATGGGGCCCATATTGGGGAGAAGCCAAGGATTTTCAAGGCTCTGGAGGTGGGGGAGCGGCTGGAATCAGGGACACCCAGGGAAGATCCAGATGGAGTGGAGGAGGGGCTTCCACTGTCCCCCTGGGGTCTTGGTTGTTGCCCTCCCCAAGTCCCTCTGTGCCCTGGTTACCTGCCTCCTCCTGGACAGGCTCTGGGGGCTTTTGGACAGTTCTTCAAGGAGTGGCAGAACTACCTCCTGGTGCCGGGTCTTAACCGCACCCACCTAAGGACATGATGGGAATTTGCCTAGGCCAGTGGGCAGAGAATATCCATTGCTGACCTAGGAATGTTCTGTGCTGGTCTCAGAGAAAACAGAAGCAGCTGCTGAGGGCAGAGTCCTGAGAACAGCAGACAGGACTCCCCAAGCTGGGCACTAGGCTCCCTCCCCACTCTCTCCAGTAGCCTGAGCTCCTGAGCCCCCAGGCCTGTGCACCCATTACCCCTGGAGCAGCTGCTAGTCCCTCCTTTCTCCCCTCTCCTGCTGAGCGACTGAGAAATGGATTGATGCTCATTAACACGTACTAATGAGTGTTAGCTGAACTGCCTTCCGAAGGGAGAGCGAAAGAGAAGGAGGTAAGTGAGAATCAAAAGGAGGTCGCTGGGGCAGAGGAGCCAGGAGGAGACCGAGGGGGAAGGTTGTCCCTTGGAGGGAGGGACAAGCCTAGAGCGAGACTGAAGGAGAAATACAGAGTGAAGGTTCCCACACCACTTGATTTTGCTCAGAGCAAATGTGTTCAGAGTTTCTTGCAGGAGCAGACTGGGAGAGAGGAATCCGAAAAACCCAGCTTTTGAGGACTGTATGCATTCCCCTCGCCTTTGTGCCAGAGGAGAGTCCTGAGCTGAGAAATTCACCAAAGCCCGTGGGTCTCTTTTGTACTGCCCCCGGGAGGCAGGATTGTTCAGTGGTTAAGAGCAGACACTCTAGAATCTGGGTGCCCAGGGTTTGAATCGTAGAATAAGCTGTGTGACCTTGGGCAAATTATGTAACCTATCTGTGTCTCAAATTTTCTCTTCTGCAAAATGGGAATGCGAGTATTTACTTCTTAGAATTGCTCTGAGATTTAAATGACTTGATATTCCCACTGCCCTTCATGGAGCCAGAGATCAGCTGTGATTAGCTTGGCAAGATATTCTTTGGCCAGCATCCATCTTCTGGAGTAGTGAACGGCTCCTGAAGGGGCTAACCCCAGAGGGAGGCCAAGGGGAAGGCTAAGCAGGAGTTCTTCACTGTGCTGTACAGCCCTACAGGGGCCAGGCTCAGCCCCTTCCAGCTTTGATGCTGTCACTTGGGCTCCTCTGTCTCACCTCCTGCTCCTCCCCTTTCCCAGATGTGTGGGGTCAGAGAACTCATCCCTGGTACCTCCTTGTTGCTTTGGTTTTCCTGGTGAGGAAGAGAGAGTGGATCTCCTGCTTTGTACTTTTCAGAGCTGCTTAGATGGGGGTTGGCTATGAGGGGGGTACTTTGGCTTGATGGGGGAGGTCCTGGGTATGACTGTAGTGTGGCCCCGGTGACCTCCAGCTCTGCATTGGGACAGCCTGCATCATTCATTTTAGATGCATGGTTAGAGTCTTTCTGAGAGGCCCATTCCTGGGCCATCTCAGACAGAGAGGGCTGTAAAACCCAAGCAAGTCCCTTTGTCCTTTGTCCCCAGCCAAGTACTGCAGGAGCAGTCATGTTTAGGATTTATAAGCTCTGCTCTGGGGTCAGAAAGCTGTGGGGTCAAACCCACTTTGAGGGCCTTGAGCAGGCCATTTAACCTCTTTGAACCTTAGGAAAAATAGAGGTAATAAAAGTGATACTGGCCACACAAAGCGTAAAGACCAAAAATAATGTAGTCAAGACATTAGCTAGCAAGAATCCTGGTGGTGGTATGTGCTTAATTAGAAGGTAGTTATTATATTAACATAGGGTGTCGGGAGGAATTTTTCTTGTTGTTCTGAAAAGGGGCTAAGTACCCCACTTGTAAAGTTACCCCACAGAATCCAAGCACCTCCTGTCTGCTGGACTCGCTAAGCCTGTCCTTCACTTCCACCCAAGGCCATGGGCTATTCGAAGACAAGACTGTGGGATGGGGGGGCTTGTGGGCGGAGCCTTAGCCTTTGGGCAGTGCAGCATTTGTGGCTCCTCTGGGGCCAAGTGTTTTGGGGGGTCTTCAGAAGACCTCTCCAGGTCATGGGGGGACATCTGCAGTAAGAGGATGCTGGCATGCCCAGCTGGTCCCAGAGTAGAATTCTGGAGCCTGGGACCCATGTGAAGACAGAAGCGGTGCCGTTTTTGACTCAGGGTTGTCTGAAGGCCCGCACTGTCCTGTCCTGTGCCTGGAAGGATTGCACCCCTTTCCTGTTTTGTGCAACCTTTGGAGGGTGCTGTGCCTCCTGAGAAAGGTGCATGGAGTTTAAGGAAGGAGCAGAAGCTGGATACCTGCCGGTTAGTCCTTGGTGTTGAAGGAAGTCAGGGCGGAGCTGAAGGCCGCTCTAGGAAAAGCTTCTTTCTACTGTGCTAGACCCTCTGACTCCCCAGACACCAGCAGCAGTAGCTGTTCCAGCACACGGGGACCAGATGGGTGAGGAGAGTTCCTCCCCAACTTCTCCGGGCAAGGAGATGTTTCAGAGCACCCCCTCCTCGCCATGTCATGCT